TTTTAAAAAAGAAATACGCTCAATCTAAATAAAACAGCCATTAATTTTCACTCACTAAGACACCTAAAAACGTTATTGTCCTCTCTAAATTTGATTCAGGGTTTGTTTTAAATGATTTGTGCTTGCTAAGGATGTTTCTTTTTAAGCTTTTGTAAAACTGTTAACTACAAGGAAGTCTCTGTTTGCAAAGAGGGTATTCATATTAATTTAAAAAAGATCTTATTTAGGTTTTAATAGTGATAACTAAGGATGTTCTCTTTAGTTGTAGGGCTTGTGAACAAAGAAAAGCTGTAAACACTTAAAATACATAGAATTAACAGTGTGAGGGTAAATTAAAATATTCATTTACAAACATACAAGGCTTTGTCTACTGAAGATCAATGCAAGGGCAGAGTTTCACTCTGTGGGGGGACAAAAGAAGCATCGTTAATCACCTGGACAAAGGACTCTTTAAAGCAGAGATACCATATGCAGACACATACCTGAATATCAGCAGGAGAGGACTCTTTAAAGTAAATACATTATAAGGTTAAAATAAGATATATATGTGGTGGAATTAGTTTAAAACAGTCACCTTAAACTTTTAGTTGTCCTCTCTAAATTAGATGTAAGGTTTTTTAAATGATTAGTGTTAATTAAGGGCTATTGTTATTTTGGTTTATAAGGGGATAGGAGTTCAACTTTAAAAATTGCACAAGATCATTCTAAGAAGAGTGAGAGGGCTAATGAGCCAGCACCATACCTCCTCTATGCATTTTCTTGACCTGTATCTGATCTTGAAAAACTCTGGTAAGTACTTTTTATTTTATTTTATAATATCATGTAATTATTTAATGCTGCTTGGTGTGTGTTAAACAACCTCTGTGCATCTTTTGTATTTTATTTTGTAACAGCACTATGGCTCGTAATGATTTAGAAGCTTTGGGAAAGTACCCCTCTATGTACAAATAATGTGGTGTAGATTTGTAATCAAATCTTTTTTCTTTTTTTGTGTGTGTGTGTCTCAGTTCAGGAAAGTCTGAACCAAATACGAATTGGAATATTAGAGAGGATTAACTCTAGGGGTACGTTGGGGTACTGCAGGGGGTATGTGAGATTTAAAAAAAAAAAAAAAAAGTTAATTAAAAAAATACCATGAATGATTACAAAAATAATCGTAGTACAATAAGTTAAATAGAAAACACAATTTTATATAAAATATTCCTAGAACCACCAAGGGGGTCCTCATATAAACATGTCAAATTGGTGTATTGTATTTTATAGATTTGCATAATATATCATTTTGTTCATTGGTTTGTTAAACAGATATTACTTCAGTTGAAAAAGTCCTTCCTATCAGTTTAAAAAAATAAAAAAAATGTCATGCAAAATATCCTTAGTTTGTTGTAAAGGAGTTAATAAATCACACACTGAGTAGACCCTCCAGAAAAACGCGATTATGCGATCGCATAATTTACCGCAAAATGGCGCAGATTTTTTGAAAGGGCGCATATTTATTAAAAGGGCGCATAACCCCCGCATTTTTCCACACAAAGTTGAGAAAAAAAAAGTTAACTCGTCTTGATCATAGGTCTTGCCGTGAAGTAGTGATGATGATGACGCGACGTCATCAGCTCGCGCATCACAGAAGGTAAACAACACCGTAGAGTGTGTCACTACCCGATCTGCAGCTCTGCCCGATCTGCAGTGCGCATGTGCGAGATGGTCCGCCATATTGGACAACTCCGGACGGCAACCCAAGTAGGACAACATTGACACAGTGGCTTTTGGCAAAGCTCAAAAGGAAAACTCGAGAGAGATGAGTTATTGTTATTACAACGTGACTTCACTATTATTTAACAACTCTTTTTATTGGGTTCTTTTATTTGGGGTTAAGTACATTGTCAGAATAAGTGAGAAATTGATTTAACTTCTGTTAGACAGCTATCATACTGAACACATATTTACTGTGAATGTGTGCAAAAAATGTATGGCATATAGCTGTTTAACAGAAGTTAAATCCATTTCTCATTTATTCTGACAATGTATGTAACCCCAAATAAAAGAACCCAATACAAATAGTTGTTAAATAATAGTGAAGTCACGTTGTAATAACAATAGTCTCTCTACTTGGGTTGCCGTCCGGAGTTGTCCAATATGGCGGACCATCTCGCACATGCGCACTGCAGATCGGGCAGAGCTGCAGATCGGGTAATGACAGAGTGAACGTGTGGAACTCACACGAGAGAGAAAACACCAAGATGAAAAAATCGAATCCATCTCATTTACCGACGAACATTTCTGCTAAAGACCGGGCAAAGCGGTACCCCGATGTTTAAACCTCCAAAACCCTTTCGAGGGCTACAAGAAACGAAGTGAGAAGCCTACAAGATTGAAGCTGGTCAGATAACGAACAAGTAAATGAAAACAGAATGAGAGGTGTGTGTGTGTGTGTGTGTGTGTGTGTGTGTGTGTGTGTGTGTGTGTGTGTGTGTGTGTGTGTGTGTGTGTGTGTGTGTGTGTGTGTGTGTGTGTGTGTGTGTGTGTGTGTGTGTGTGTGTGTGTGTGTGTGTGTGTGTGTGTGTGTGTGTGTGTGTGAGAATTGTACTTAAAGGTGGGGTATGTCATTTTGGAGAAACCAGCTCGAGTGAGCTAGAATTTGAAAGTACACAACCGGAAAAAAATCTGCCACTTCCTCACAGAGCCCCTCCTCAAACACACATGAACGCGCACATGACCAATGAGGGCACGAGATAAGTTTGTGCACAGATCTTCGGCTGGAGGCGTCTGAACCCGGCACAGATACTGCATGCGTTTTTTGATTGGCGCTCCGGATGGATGGCGGTAAGTTGTCACAGGCGTCTCGCTGATTAAACCCATATCGATGCGTCTCTAGGCCATTTTTCTTTTTTTGAAAGGTGACTTGAGTGGAAATGACTGGCTTTTTATTTAGTCTGCATGGATTTCTTTTTTCACCTAATTCCACCCCTCACCATCTTCTGGCCTCATATCGTGTGACAGGAAGGGGTGGAGAAAGGGGGAGAGGCCTGGGCTGTGAGGGGGCGGGGGCGGGGACAGTCTCACGTATAACTTCAAAGACACACCTAGATTAACATCAGAGGCTTATAACACACCGGTGTGAAATCACACCTGCCTGTTATAACACGTCAACCCTCACATCAAAGGACAGACATCAAAGGCTAATTAGATTAGACAACAAAGGGCTGTGAGGGGACAGGGGCCAGACAGTCTCACGCATAACTTCAAAGAGACTGCCTTAATTAACACCTAGATTAACATCAGAGGCTTATAACACACCGGTGTGAAATCACACCTACCTGTTATAACACCTCAACCCTCACATCAAAGGATCTCACACCTACGTGTGGATTCACCCGTAGGGGTGTGACATCCACCTCGAACAAAGGGAGGCGGGACTTAGCGCATTAGCATAATTGGGGGTGGGCCAACCTGTCAGTTTGTATGCATACTAATGTGATTGAAGCGGGATCCTTATTACTACTGCGGTGCGACTCATTGTTTAAAGTTGACCCTAACCCCAGCCAGCAGCAGGACAGAGGGAATTGAGAAAGATTAAATGTACTACTTGCAAACTATGCAAATATCCTCCGAAGCCCCATGGCGAAAAGTACATGATACGTGGTTTACAAAATGTTGAAAGGTCAATCTAAAACAAAACAGAGAGCTATTCTACGGTCACATGTCAAGATCCCATTTTGTAACAGATGGTTTCAGAATTAAAATGGTTCTGCAATTAGATCCAGGATCCTGTTAGGGAGCCAATCTGGTATTGAAATATGAAAATGTTGAGTTCATATTGTTATTACCTAAAGAGGCCCTATTATGCTTTCAGGGTTTTTCCCCCTTTCGTGTAGTGTGTTAGACTGGACTGAGAAAAATAAAGAACTTCTTGAACATTAAAGCATGTCATAGTAGAGGCACAACATACTAATATACTTTAATATGAGCCAGAGTTTTTATTTCTAGGCTCATCTTACATTTTAGGATTTTCGTACAATGTCTCAATGTCATGAACACTGAATTTAACTAAAGCTTGTCATGTTAACTGTATTATCAGTATTTTGTTTGGCAAATACAGTGTTTTACAAAAGTTGGAAACAACAGTATTGTGACTCATGGCTCCAGCTATCTTTGTTTTTGTAATGCTGCCTGTGATCTAGGATCTGTTCTCCATGTTCTGAGGGGGGGTAGTGAGGAAGCTCTGCTCAGGAGAGATAACAGAACCTGATCCAAGGGGAGTCCATTAGTGGGAGGCTGCTGTGCCCTAACCTCACTTCCTTTATTCACTGTGTACTTCCTGCCTGCACGCTCCTCTTTAATGCCTCCCTCCCCCCCCACCCCCTCTACATGCAGCATCTCCAACCTGGACCCAGTCCACTTCCTCTCCAGGCTGAGCTGAAGCTGGGTGAAGGTGTGTGAGGGAAATGAAGTCATACTGTCAGGAAGACACAATGTGCCCTGGTGCCACACGTATGCTTATGCAAGTGTGTCGTACTGTATGTATGGTCACTTTTCATGGGTGTGAAGCTCAGGCCGAAGCCTTACGTAGCAGTAACAGCTTGTTAACCTCTGCCTGCAACCACAGGCTGTTGACTCTCTGCGCTCCTAAAAACACATCGCGCAGCAGGTGAAAGTGAGTGACCTCAATCGTATGGCCGTATAAAAACAACCATTTCCCTGTTAATGGTGTGACCCAGGGGTAAAAGGTGAGGGGTCAACAGGCTTGAAGCAGCACAAAGGGCCTTATCAGGGTGAGGTGTGAGTCAGCCTGCGTACGAAGTCACGTTACGTCACGGCCCCTCAGGAGCTCCCACACACCGCTGTGGCTGGAAGACGCTTATCGAGGGAATGTCGCTCTGTGTGTGTCAGTGTTTGTTGGCATTGGCGAGCGTCTGCATTCATTTCCGTGTATGTGTGTGTGCGTCTGAGCTTTCACAGGACAAATTCTTCATACTGTTACGTCCGGATTTCTCTCTCACCTCGTAGCCTTTAGCAAGCAGGAACTCAGCCAGGTAGGAACCATCCTGAAAGAAAGAAGACAACGCTGATTAAAATGTGTAAAAGAGCACTGCAAATACATAACATTAAGAGTTTCTTTCACTGACTGAATAACAGCAACTTAACCACACGTGATTTCAAAACATCTTTGCCCAGGTTGGGGTGAACAGAATTCATTTAATCAGGAAGTGTAACAGATTTTACTTAAATAACTAAGTGCATTATCTTTGTCGAGTGTTTTACTCACTATTTTATAACAGCCCTTAATGATTATCATTACCTATTAATGATATAATGGGATTTAATAAGTGCTGTGATTTTTGTGATCACATCACTACTTATTTTTTCATTTTCCACCTATGCAGTTTTATGATTTGCTTATCATATCCGTGTGTAACAATAAACAAGGAGGTATACCAGATCAATCCATAGATCTCTGGGCCAAAGGGGGAAATCATCATTTTGAGACTTATACACAATATTAACGGAGGATCAAGACTGGACATGTTTTGCATATTGAGTACAATCACATTTTTCAGAACATGGTCCGCACCCTAGTACTTCATTATAAAGAAATGTGCTTCTAGCGTGTGTGTTTGATGTTGAAATGTATAGACAATTGGTATTTAAATCTGACAAGTACACAAAAGGAAAAAATGTAACCTGAAAGAGATTAGAGACCAGAAATTGTTCAGGAAATGAGTGTAAACTTCAGGAAAAATTACTTTTTAATGAAGCACAAGTTGGTTTCTGTAAAAATAGGTACAGTTATGCTCATTTTGTCATTTTACTGAGAATTACACCAATATATGTCCAAATGTAGTGTTATATTGGAGAAAGTTTGGGGCTAACTCAACAAAACATTTCTAAATGGACTTTTAATCTGATTATTCTTGATTAAACTGGCTGGTGCAGTGATTGGTTTGAAAGTAAACCTGTAAATTGTTCGAGTCACTGTTTATTAATGTAAACTAAATGGTGTTGGACCAGAACACTCTTCAAACCTCCACACTGTTGCTGAATACTGAGTCCTTGGATCTGTGTGTGTGTGTGTGTGTGTGTGTGTGTGTGTGTGTGCTGTCAATAAGGTCTTGTTCCCCTCACCCGTGTTACTCTTCATCTTTTTTCCCTACTCAGACTTTCCGACCGCACATTCTGGAACACTCTGGAACATTCCAAACTAGTCATGGCATTCATCCCTCAATCCCCCTCACGTATGTGCGCACACACACTCACCCTCCCTGGGTTACCGTCAAGGTGGAGGGCAGTGAGCAGAGGGTTTACAGGGGCTGGAAGTTGGAGGACACCCAACAACCTGGCAGGAGAGTCATGTTTGAAGCTGCATTAAAGGGCCCCTTTCTGGAGAGGCTCTACAGTCGGGGCCACCACTGCACAACCCAACATCTGAAGTTTTTATGATCCTCGACTATTTTGATAATTGATCAATCGTTGAAGTAATTTTTTATGCAAAATAGATACTTCAGAATGTAATAATCTAACATTCGGGCTGGACAATATATGACATAATAGATTACACTACATATTCCCGTAGATTTTGGAAATGATAATATTGCAATTGTCTTCCTGGTTGTAAAAAGGCAGCATTAAGGTAATGTCATTTTTATTTTATTTACCAGGCTATTCTAGCTGTTTTAAAAGATTTGTCGTTTTCCAAATAGTCATGATTCAACCCACATTAGTGAGGAAAATGTATCAAAATTCTCATGGTTTAAATATTATATCAGAGCGTGAATGGTCAACCACAGCATCCTCCGCTATCGATGTATTTTGCCAAATGATTGTGGTGTTTTTCATACCGCCCGGCCCTAACAGACTTTGCCAGTCTCAGAGATAACCCCATCCACTGAGGAAGTATTTCAGATGCAGTTCGAAGTTCTGGAATATCTAAAATAGGTATTTTCTTATTTATATTGTTCGATATAACTAAAGGCTGCTGTATGAACACCCTGACGAAGGTGTAGGCCAAAGATGTTGTTAATTTTACCCTCCTGAATAACAGTTATTGGATTTAGACTTGCATGTCTGCGGTTTCGCCCTGAAGTTAAACTTGATTTGCTAAACCAGTGGTTCTCAACTGGTCAGGCCTCGGGACTAGGGATGGGTATCGTTTGAAATTTATCGATTCCGATTTCGATTCCGGTTCTGCTTATCGATTCCGGTTCTTATCGATTCCCCGTTTCGATTCAAAAATTGTAAAATAAAGAGGTCAAACGTTTAGATAACAAAAATATATTTATTCTTAAAAGCTTTAACTGAAATTGTTACTAAAAAATATACATGCAATACAAATGTATTGCACAATAGCTGTGCTTTATTTTAACTGAGCTATGCCTGTGGCAAGCTATTAACAGGCATTACACTTTGCCTTTTATTTTTATTTTTTAGTGTAGTGGAGCCTCACTTCAGAGTGTTTACCGCGACCTATCTTTGGTGTTATGAAGTGACTGAGATCGTGAAATGTCTACGGGAGGGCGGGGGAGCATCGCTGCGGGGCAACTGTGGACCTCTGTCGCCTGTCAGCGCAATTTATATGATGCCGTTTAAAAAAATGAAGGGCGGTGCCGGCCGTCAGCGTACCGAGCCGGCCGTCAACGGCCCGCTGACGACCGGCCGTTCTGTGATTCTCCAGGTCCGCCCTGTATTCCACCGGGTCACCGCAACACCGCGGAGCAGACGGACCCGCTGGAATACAGGGTCTACCGCGTTTAGGAACCGTTAAGCAGAACCGAAATTGTGTATTTTGTATGGGTACCCGGTACCCGGCATTTTCTTATCGGTTCTCATCTGGAACCGAGTTTCGGTTCCCAACCCTACTCGGGACCCACTTTTTACTTGGTCAATAAATTGCGATCCAACATTTTGAAGCACTCAAATCTATTCAACAAAAAAAGGTGCTGTAATATATACACTTTTCAGCATACATTATGAATTAAAGTGAAGTACAGTGCATATATCCCTTATATCCCTTCACAGAACTAAAGTATGCTTTCAAAAAAGGTTTAATGAGATGATGGGGGATTCTCCCCCAGGAGATTTTTAGAAATACTAACAAACTATGCATTCTGGTACACTGAGAAGAAAATAAATAGATGTATTACTACCCGACATGTTAATAATATTTTATGCCATTGTTTGTTTTTCACTTTGTTCTGACATCTTGCTGCGAGAAGAGTAAAGAGGAGATAGTCTGTGTGACTTACTTTAAATTGTGGGTAAGGGTAGATAGCTCCCATTGTTCTGTGAACTGTCAATCATCAAACCGGGGGTCATATTTCATTATGTGTTCATTTGTATCTGAAGTTGTACCCATGGATGTAAAGAAGAGTTCTACCGCAAAGTTATTCTCCGTGGGGACTTCTGGCAACAATCTTGATTCTGATTGGCCAGAAGACTCGAAAAAACATCAGCAAATATATTTTATTGCAAAGATGATCACTACGTGACAGAAGTTTTCAAAACCGTTTATGGTCTCCGGTGCTTCCAGTCCAACGCCGACTGCATGCACAGCGTAAGAAAATCGGGCCTTCAAAATAAAAGTATGACTTTTTTTAAAAAAAAAATTAAAAAAAATCTTCACTAACACATCCACGACCCACTCCAAACGGGTCCGCGACCCACTTTTGGGTCGCGACCCACCAGTTGAGAACCACTGTGCTAAACAATTCTAACTTCTTGAACAGAGACACAAGTAGCAATTGTATGTTTTACAAGTTGAATAAAAAACAATGTATGGCTCGGTACTACCTAAAAGTATTCTCAAGATCATTTATAGTTCTGAGCTCTCAGGTGTGGTCGTTGGCACTGATGCCCAACCTGTTTCTGCCTTATCCGGGGGTGGGGGGCTGGGCACAGGCACTGGCAGCCCCTCATCCGTCCCCACGGTGTTCAAAGCTATGGCCGGTGTCATGTTTTCCTGCCCCAGTGCCAGGGTCAAAGCGCTCCACGCCAGACCAATATGGAAAACAAGCCTGAAGAGCTACAGCTCTGTTTCAAAACAAGAAGCTCCTTTGAGGCCGTATTAGCCCATAAACACTGGCCTCACCTCGCCGTTTCCTGTTATGGGGAGCTGGAGAGGGTAGACACACACACACACACGCTCACCTGCCAGGTCAATGTCAAACCACAAGAATCCTCCAAGAATCATGTTGGCATCTAACACAGTATGTGTCTACTCTATCACTCCACTTAAATACAAGCCAAAAGGCTGGTTTACGAACAAAAGGGTTACACGATTTGAAATGATAAACCCATTATAGTCTATTATCATCATAATCATTTCTGCAGGGGACATACCTGTGAAAACAACCCTTCAGGTACAAGTGTAAAACCTTCTACAAATTAACTTTATATTGTGAGTTCTCTCTAATGTGATGCTAAACTAACTTTACATTATTTTTTACATTTTAAAGACTGAAGTGTGTATTAAAGCTATTTGGAAACATATCGTTGTGTGTGGTTTCATAAATAAACACTATAAACTTTAAAGTAACTTTTGGTTCTCCATTTAATTGTCAGGAGAAACAAACACATCACCCTTAAAAAAAACAAATGTGTCTTCGAACAAAGTTCTGTTAAACTAAGGAGGGTAAGGAAGTACAACTCAGACTTACAAATTAAAAAAGACCAAAAGAGGGGGAAAGGACAGAGGGGGGGAAAAAGCTGAAACTGATGTTGATGTTAGACTAAATCAGTCCATGTGTCTGAAAAATGCTAACAATGTTCTTTCATCAGATCTGCTGTCGTTAGCGGCAATCAACATTCCCATCATCATCATTATCACATCATCATCGAGTGGTTTCTTTTGGAGGATGGATATGCATCGATATCAAAAGGTGTGTGTGTGTGTGTGTGTGTGTGTGTGTGTGTGTGTGTGTGTGTGCGTGCGATTTTCAATTCAGTACTGCCGATACAATATCTGACTTATCTATAAGATACAAAGGTGTGTTTGTTTTACCAAAAAACCTTCTCCATACCTTTTTCCTCACTATATTTATCTATATTTGTC